TAACTACACATTTTTGGTATTAGTATTATAAATCAATAAAATAAAAATCAACACTATTTTAAATAAAAAATATCAACTAATAATGTAAGAAAGTCAATCAACATTAACATTTTAAATAAACTGATATTTGTAATCACATTAAAATAATATTTGTTAGCATCGTCGATATCGATCAACGGTTGCTCTTTGATATTATTTGATATCGCTTACTCCTTTTTATGTAATGTAAGTTCTTAGAAATATTACAAAAAATGTAATAAAATTTCTAGGGTCGTATTTAAAAAAATTAAGTTGATGATGGTCCTGGAGAGACGAAACGTTACATATAAAAATTGAGTATGCCATTCGATAGAGGGCAAAAACGGATTTAATATATATTTTTTTCAAATATTTCGAAAACTAATCATGTTAGCCTTGATTTTTTAGAGGCATAATGTTGGTCCCCTGATTACGCAACTTCGTACCCCTTACCGTTTGCGAGATCCCTGTAGTGAGAAGCGAATTTGTAATAGCTTGTATAATTTGATAGCAAAAAAACAAAGCATTTAAAAAACTACAATATACAAGGTGTTTCAGTTAAGAAAACACAAGTTAGATTTATATGATGGCATTATGTTTCTCTTGCAAAAATCGCTGGATATAAAATAAAGGTGATTCAAAGTGGTAAAGTTATTCAAAATACTATGTAGATCAAAAGAGTTATGAAATTGTAATATCTTTAGGAGTATTTCATTTAATTGATAAAAATTTGCCCTATATTTGTTTTTGGGCTTTTCACATAAAAATCATTTCCAGTTTTTCTCTAAAGCAAAACATCCCGAAAAAAAGCGTAGGGCAAATAAATGATTTGATATCAAAGTTCATAAAAAATCGACCATAAATGTTATTCCAGCTTGTACATACACTGTATTTACACTGACACTGGTTTTCCACACTCTGCAGACTACTCCCGTCCTGAGCACTTTCTCAAACCACCTCACTTGATTTTAATCCTGATGCCGAGGTCACAGTAAGGATTCGAGCAGCCAACCAATCACATCGCATAACACTATCATTTTACCTATCTACTAGTCATTATTTAAAATTACTATTACATACTACTTCTACTTATGGTTGTCACCCCAATGGACGAATTGTAATTTTACCCATTATAACACTTTATGTAGATCACGCATGCTATTGGAAATGAATGTATAAAGCAATGAGTAAAATTCGACTGACTGGTAACGTTGTACATGTGTAATAAGCGCTTCAAATTGAAAATTCGTTTCCAATACGCGCGGTAGCAACTAACACAATTCTAACATACTGCTGTACATATAGCATCAACCCACAACACTTACATACAATGGTAGAAGTAGTTTAGAAGAGTCAAAACCAAAAGCTGAAAACGTCTACTCTGGTCTCGACACGCAACCAGATAGACCAAAAAGTCGTATATTCTCACCTGATTTCTACGAATCAGACAATGACACCGAAAAAGGTTGCCACCAAGACAAATACTATAGCTTTAGTCGATATACTAACCCCAGTACGAAAGACAACTGGTCGTATGCTTCCACAATGGCGATGGGTCCGCATAGACACTCGCTGCCAAATGATAACAAATATGCAAGGCGTTCACTTAACAAAAAATTCAACAAAAAAGACCGCACTCGACCCAGGCCAAAACCGTTACAGTACGAAAATGAAAAGTACTACGACCATGTGTTTCCTAAGAGGGATGGTAGAATAAGCGCGGATATCTTCTACCAACCTAGTAGTTTAGAACATGCCGAATTGTAAATAAAATGTTAGCATATCGTTTTGCGTAAGATTTTTAATCAAGTGTTTAATAAAAATAAAGAATAAACTTATGAAATATTTCAAAATGCTACTTCTATATGTTTATAACAGATTACAAACAAAAAAATCTTACTGAAAATGATATCGATGGCTTTGGATTTCAAAATCTTGCCCCACTTTCTAATCAAAATATTCTAGACAAACTAAGTTTGAGCAACACTTTGGGAATTAAAGGAGAAAGAAATCCAAGCTACAAGAGATTAAATTGTTGTATGTACATTTCCATTTATTTTGTAAATAAACGTGTATAACAAACGTTGCATGATTAATATGTGCATATTATTTCCTGNTTGAAAACTAATCATGTTAGCCTTGTTTTTTAGAGGCATAATGTTGGTCCCCTGATTACGCAACTTCGTACCCCTTACCGTTTGCGAGATCCCTGTAGTGAGAAGCGAATTTGTAATAGCTTGTATACGTATATCTAAAATGTACGATGATGTTTAAATTTGAATACAATTCAGTGGTAAAATTTATGTTTTCTTTATCTTCTTGTCGTTATCATAAGAGCACTGCTTGAGTTGACAATAAATGATGAAAATTTTAACAATACAAAGCGATTTCGTAACGCCAATTTATAATTATAGCATTGTATTGTTATTAAATATCTATAATTAAGATTTTTTTCAATCAGATTGCAACAGGCTTACAAACAACTCCGGTGAATTTGTATTTATTTATCGTTTGATAAAATACAAATTTCCCAAAAGCCCTAATCGTTTTAGAAGTGCAAGGAGATATATTAAAACCTTATTACACGCTAGACATATTTTTTTAAACATGAATCCATCATTAAAACATCAAACAGCAACAATGGTTGCAACTTTATTTTCTCGACAATACAATTAATCCAATTCATCGGTTGCCTCAAGAGTTTGCACAGCTAACTGCGTAGCAGGAGAAAATCCTGCGTTATTCTCCACATAAACTCGGAAGAAATACATGCTGTTGGGTTTGAGGGGTGTGATTTCCACAGATACTTGGCTGTTATCTGACAAATCTTGCAACGACACTGTCTGATTGAAATAGCTGCCGCCATCTACGTACAGCCTTATCAAAGGACATCTGTTGGCACCTCCTTCAAGAGTCCACGTCATGTTGATAGATGTAGCTCGAATATCGATCAATCCTAGCGAAGGAGCTATTTGAACTGAAACATGATTTGGATTTTAACATGTTGTCTAAGTATTGTAATTTTACCTCTTTTAGAGAACACGATGCCCATGGTAACCGCGGGACCTTCCATGTTAGGGATTTCTTCGTTGATGGCGTTTAGTTCGATGTAGTAAAGGATACACGGTGATACTTCCAAAAGCGAGGACGTTCCTTTCAAGTATTCGTTCAGGATAACACCAAGGTCATCGTCCCTGATAACCAAGTGGTAGAGCACATGACATGTGGTCTGACTCTTCAGTACCCACTGCAGGAAAATATCCGTCCCAGTGAAATTGAACACGTAGCTCAGAGAAAGATCGAGGTTTTCGCCTGTAAGCGTGAATGGTAGGTTAGGTTGGTTAAAGATGGAAAATATATCGATTTTTGTCTAGAACCAGATTCCTTACCACATTCTTCAACGTATCCATATGCTTGGTTAAATAAACCATAGGATACTACTCCTAGAATTAAAAATATTTCCTTTGGAAACATCGTCATCAAGCGGGGTTTTTGCATTTATTATTTTTAGATAACAAGGAAAGTTATAATTGTATTATTTGATTGTTTCCGAGATTTTATTTCTCTTATCTGAAGAGCTTTCATATGATTTGATTCCGAAAAAATAAAGTACCTACATATTTAATTATTATCTGTAAAAAACAAAGCAACTGTAATTAGGACAAATGACGTAGTTATTACAATTAAGAGCCAGGGAAGTTAAAAAATCGAAGATGGCTTTGGAAATATGGATTTATTTTTCTTTTGCACAATTTGTATTAGTTGTAAGTTTGTAAAATATAGCCAGGAAAAAGTTTTGTTTTTATTATTATTCAGGAAGAGTCTGCACAGCTATCTGATAAGGAGGAGACCATCCTCCTGAATTTTCCACAGAAACTTGGAAATGGTACATGGTGTTGGGTTGGAGAGACTTGACTTCCGCAGGAACAACACTCCGATTAACCAAATCCTCCAGAGGTATCAAAAAGTTAAAAATGTCCCCACCATTGACGTAGAAGTTTTTTAAGGGGCATCTATTTCTATCTCCTTCTAATAACCAAGTCGTGTTGATAGACGTCGACTGTACCTGCAGCGATTTTAGAAGAGGCGCAATTTGAGCTGAAACAACAGAAATAATAAAAAATAAGATTATATTAGGTTTTTATGTAACTGTTAAATTTGACACAAACCAAACTGAACAGTGAAGCTCACCTCTTGAGTCAAATTGGGAGGAAGTTGTAAGGGGTGGTCCTTCTGCGGATGGAATCGCTTTGTTAACGGCCCTAAGACTCACATTGTACCCGATGCAAGGCGACATGGCATCCAGCAGAACGGACTGTTCTTCTAAATATTCATCTCGAATTACGCCTAATTCGCTGTCTCGAACAACCACGTGATATTCGATGGAACAATTCGTTGGAGTCCTGAGGCTCCATCTGACAGCGACGTCGTCGTCTGAGAATATGAACCTGACGTTCGTTAGGCTAAGGTCAGTGTCAGCACCTGTCGAGTAACCAATCAATAATCTATCTTTATAATGTGAATAATTTAAATACTGGAATTCTTACCACAATCGTCTTCGTCTCCATATACTTGGCTTACTAGTCCGCAAAACACCACGAACCAGATTAAAATTACCACTTTGGGTATCATTCTGTTCAATTTTGCAGCTATTTTCTTTCACTTGATGCAGTTTGCCTGAAATAAAAATTTATATGCCTTGCTTGTGGTATAAATAACGTCTTATCTTGATATAATCCGATATTCCGCATTAAGAGTTCCGCGAGAAACAAGTTCCTAAACCCAGGCTTTTGCTCATCACAAATATCTAGAATAATGTAAAGTACCTATAAGCATTTTAATTTCCATAATGGCAATGTATGGAAGATTTTAACAATCATGGGATAAGTCGGTAAGATTTATGACTCATAGATATATTGTGATAAAAATTATTCATATGGAGATAGAGGTGTTAGTAGATATATTTTTAGAATAATAATCCCCATTGTTAATCCTGGTTGATTATTTGTTATGAACATCTTGGATAGATAAGGTTTATGGGGATATAATACTCATAGATGACGTTTTACAATACTGATGCTTTTTGCTGGCATAAACATATTATCACATTGTATATTTGTTTTTCAAATTTTGTGTAATGTGAATATAGCTCTAGAAAAAACGTCGTTTTAAGAAAATTAATATATACTTTGAATGAATTGACAGATAAATCAATAGTCTGCAGAGCTACTAAGCTGTGAGCATGAGTGTTATACAATATACAAAAACATTGAACTATAATTACTTCTCTATAAATGAGAATAGACTTTTGCAAATTTTTTGCTCCCAATAGCTTAATGCTATTAATAGTATATTGATTTTTGTTCAGAATCAGATCAATTTGAATGCCAACATATATTTGTGTATTATTTTATTGTTTTTAAGACTGAATTTTTCTTATTTAAAGAGCTCTCATTCGATTTGGTCCCGAAAAAATAAATTATGAAGATATTTATTAAAATTAAAAGTCAGAGAATTTAAAAATATGGAGGATAACTTTGGAAATATAAATTTATTTTTTTTTGTACAACCTGTATTGTATTAAAAGAGTAAGATTGTTGATTTAACCTCAAACTACCTACTAAAGATAGAAAGGCCAGGAAAAGCTTTTTATTTCCTAATTATTCATGAAGCGTCTGCACAGCTACTGGAGTAGGTGGAGACAATCCTGCTGAATTTTCTACAGAAACCTGGAAATAGTACATGGTGTTGGGTTGGAGAGACTTGATTTCTACAGGAACAACACTCCTGTCAGCTAAATCTTCCAGAGGTATCGAAAAATTGAAATTACCACCATTGACGTAAAAGTTTCCTAAAGGGCTTCTATTTCCCTCTCCTTCTAACAACCACGTTGTTTTGATAGATGTCGTCTCTACGTCCAGCGATTTTAGGATGGGTGCAATTTGAGCTGAAACAACATGAATAACAAAATATGATATTTTGATTCAAAGACTTGTTTATAAGGAGAATAACTACCTAGGTCTATATATCGTATCGTTGACGTAGAAATTTTTTAAAGGACATCTATTTTTATTTCCTTCTAATAACCAAGTCGTGTTGATAGACGTCGACTGTACCTGCAGCGATTTTAGAAGAGGCGCAATTTGAGCTGAAACAACAGAAATAATAAAAAATAAGATTATATTAGGTTTTTATGTAACTGTTAAATTTGACACAAACCAAACTGAACAGTGAAGCTCACCTCTTGAGTCAAATTGGGAGGAAGTTGTAAGGGGTGGTCCTTCTGCGGATGGAATCGCTTTGTTAACGGCCCTAAGACTCACATTGTACCCGATGCAAGGCGACATGGCATCCAGCAGAACGGACTGTTCTTCTAAATATTCATCTCGAATTACGCCTAATTCGCTGTCTCGAACAACCACGTGATATTCGATGGAACAGTTGGTTGGAGTCCTCAGGCTCCATCTGACAACAACGCCTTGGTCTAAGAATGTGAATCTGACGTTTGATACGTTAAGGTCAGTGTCGGCACCTGTCGAATAATCAGTAATTTACAGGTAGTTCGAAACCATAACCAAGAAATAACGTGAATAACTGAAATACTGGAATTCTTACCACAATCATCGTCGTCTCCATATACTTGGCTTACAAGTCCGCAAAACACCACGAACCAGACTAAAATTACCACTTTGGATATCATTCTGTTCAATTTTGCAGCTATTTTTTCCACTTCATGCAGTTTGCTTGAATTAAAAATCTATTTGCGTTGTTTCTGGTATAAATAACGTCTTATCTTGATATAATCCGATATTTTACATTAAGAGTTCAGCGAGAAACTCTACAAACAAGTTGCTCATCACAAATATCTAGAATAATGTGAAGTACCTTCAATGCTTAAAAAACATTGGAAGGATGGTTTGTTCTTACATTTGGCTTTTCTGCATTTACAGAAGATTTTATACGGATTCTAAGATATTTATATACAATACAAGCTTTAAATTATCAACGTATGAAACATTATAACAACTATAGGATAAGTCTGTAAGATTTATGATTCATAGATTCCGTTTTGATAAGAATTGTTCATATGGAAAATGAAGTGTTAATAGGTACATTTTTAGAAAAATAATCCCCATAGTTAATCCTGATTGACTATCTGTTGTGGAGATCATTGAAAGATAAGTTTTATGTAGGTATAATGCTCATAGATTCCAATACTGGTGTTGTTTTTAACTTCACATTAAATAAAAATGCACTAAAACAATATAATCACAGAGTTTATTTGTTTTTCTAATTATACTTACATATCTACGCGTTTATAATACCTATAATAATATTATAGTTCATATACGTGTGTAATATCTTAAAATATAAAGAGAAATGTTGATATTGGCGAAATGCAAAGTTGCTGAACTTTTAACACAGTTCAGGCGTGGAATAGTTAGGTTTTCGAGCTTCATCACGTTCAAAGATAAGAAAAAAGTTGTAATAAGCACTGGTCTGTAAACGCTTCCTAAGATCTTTTCATGGGCGACAATCAAGGCATTTCTAATTACTAGGAAGTGTCTGAACAGCTATTTGGTAAGGTGGAGACCATCCCCCTGTATTTTCCACAGAAACTTGGAAGTAGTACATACTGTTAGGTTTGAGAGGCGTGATTTCTACAGGAACTGTGCTCCGATCTTCTAAGTCATCCAAAGGTACTGAAAAGTTAAAAAAATTTCCACCGTTAACGTAGAAATTTTTTAAAGGACATCTATTTTTATTTCCTTCTAATAACCACGACACGTTGATTGATGTGCTTTGTACATCCAGGGATTTTAAAGCAGGAGCAATTTGTGCTGAAATAACATAGATGTAAATAAATGATTGAGTAAGTGTGTGTGTAAACTTAGAAAAAGATTTTAAACATATTTACCTCTAGGGTAGAGCTGGATGGTTAT